AAAAATCATGTGATAAGATCCTAGGAAAAATCTTTTTTTGAGAGAGAGAGGTTTTTGCTATAGGGCGTGTGCACTCGCCAGACAGAGAGAGCCAGAGAGACAGAAAGCGAGAAATCACCACCCAGGAGGATGGCTATGCCGCAGTCCCTTCTCCTCCACTCTCCTCCCGGGATCTTGGGCACGCACACACACGTGCCTGGCGTGAGTTTAAGCCACCGGGTCCGGGACGCAAACTGCGGTCGACTACGTGGGAGTCCAGCAACACAGCCATTACGCTAACTGCTGGTTCCCCTAGGAAAAATCTTTACCTAATATACATTATTTAAAATAATTATTTAATTAATTAATTATGATTATTATTAATTTTACCAGGGAGAGAGAAGAAGGAAAGTGAGAAAGAAAGTCACCAGGTCAGGGACTTGAACTGAAGTCAGCCACGTGGGAGTCCAGTGCTGTAACCACCATGCTACCTGCTGGCCCTAATATACATAATTTTTTTTAGAGGGTTTTTGCCTGAGGGTGTGATTGTAAGAGAGTCAGAGGGACAGAGACAGTGAGAGGGAAAGTGAGAAATCACCCTCCCCAAGGGGGATGTCCCTGCTATCGTCCTTCCTGCTCCCAGGATCTTGAGCACACCTGCACACACGCCCAGCATGATTTTCAAGCCACTGCGTCTGGGACTCAAACCTTAGTTGGCCACATGGGAGTCCAGCACATAACCACTACGCCATCTGCTGGCCCCTAATATACGTAATTTTAATCAATTTTTCTCTGAAGGTATGCATACTGTGTTGAGAATTTTATTAAGTGAAGTTTCATAGAATTACTGAAGGAATAGTACTGTACTAAAGAAGTTTACACAATTTAGAGAAATGAAGTGCTACTCGAATTTAACCCTGTGAACACAGAGGAAAGATAAAATGCTGAATATAGCAAAGGGAGGCCCAGCCTGATGGCACAGAGCTAACGTATGCTGAACTGTCGTGCTGGTGGCCACGCGACCGACTGGGTTCAGGTCTCCAGTGCGGTCGACCTGCGAGCCAGAGGGTGTGGGAAGGGGCCTGCAGAGCAGCTCTGTTGGGGATGCCCCTTTCTCCTGAAGCATGGTGCAAGCAGGTGTATGTGCTCTCTATCCTGAATAAAAACAAACAAGTGAACTTAAAAAGTAGCAAAAAAAGAATCTGTGGCTTTCCCTCTCAGCAACTGCAGCCTGGTTAGGGACCAGCTCATCGCCCACCCCCAGGTGAGAAGCCAGGGATTCAGAGTGTGAGGAGCCAGCCCCCTGTGGTCTTTCTCTTCAGAGCCGCCTTGCTCGGAATGCACTCTCAGTGAGGCGCATTGCACCTTCTCAGCCCGCTTGGCACTGTTAGGCCTGCTCCCCCGCCTCTCCCTGGCTCTGTTACGGATTGTTTGCCTGTTTATTTCCCGTCTTCCCCAGAACACTGTCAGCTCTGTGAGGGCAGGGACCTTGTTTGATTTATCCTTTACTATTACATATCCCCAGTAGCTGGAACAGTTCCTACTATGTCTGCAATAAATCGTTGCTAGCTGAAGGCCAGCAGGTGGCATGGTGGTTGAGGCCCTGGACTTCCAGATGGCCTACCATGGTTCGAATCCTGGACCTACCTGGTGGCTTGCTTTCTCACTTTCCCTCTCTCTGTCTCTCTCTGGTGGATTAAAATAATAATAATAATAAATAAAAATTTAAGAATAATTGCTGATGGAGCAAGTGAAATAACAAATGGACAGCTGTGACTCTCCTGTCATTTGGAGAAAGAAAGATTTCTTCCTTGGCTTTAATTATTTCATTTGGTTTTGGGGTGAAATTATTATTCTGAGACTCCTCAGTTCTACAAAAACCCATTACATTTAAAGACTCTCCTCACAATAACCGTGAGGTAGATTCGTGCCCAGTTGCGGAAATGAGGCAGTGATTGAATTTGCTCAGTAAAGTCTCCCTACTTACTTCGTGTTTAATTCTGTATTTTATTCTGTCATCTCCGCGAGCCTAATGGTGGTTTGACTTGTTTGGACACGAACACGGTTACCTGTGCTTGGAGCCTGCCTCACCTACACAGTGGAGTTAGGTTGGCCGGGCCGGGGCTGGGCTTAGAGACCTGGGCTTGGCGTGTGGCCTGTACTGGGACTGAAATTTAGGGAGTGATGAAGATACTCCTTAAGAATTCTCTGAATTTGGTTTTTACCTGTATTTGTTTTTAAGCAGACATTTGGGAAGATGCTGGAGAAAGGTAAGAATTTGGGGACAAGTTTTCATTGGAACTACTCTTTGCAGTACTTTGCTAAAGACTGTGTCACTTCAGGGGTCCTGATTATCCATCTTTTATCTTTTTGTTTTAACCATATTCCTCCATATTAAAATGATAAAGAGCAGGCCCAGTAGATGGTATAGTGGTTATGTCCTTGAACTTCCACATGGTCATCTGAAGTTCGAGTCCCAAACCCAGTAGTTTGAAATTCAGGCCAGACGCTTGTGCGTGAGTGCCCAAGATCCTGGGAGGAGAATAGAGCAGAAGGGGTTGAGGCATGGCCACTTCTCCCAGGGGGGTGATTTCTCACTTTTCCTCTCACTGTCTCTATCTCTCCCTCAGGGAGCAAACACACCCTAAGGCAAGCACCTACAAAATAAATTAATTAAAATTATAAAGAGCAGGGCCAACAAGTGGCATGGAGGTTAAGGCCCTGAATCCTGCAGGGCCAACTGCATAGTTCAAGTCCCGGACTTGGTGGCTTGAATATCATGCGGGACATATCTGTGTGTGCCCAAAATCCTGAGAGGAGAGTGGAGAAGGGGTTGTGACATGCCCATCCCTCTGGAGGTGATTTCTCACTTTCCTTCTCTCTCGCTGCGCTGTCTCTCTCTCTGGTAAATGTATGCACCCATGCCAAAAACTAAATGAATAAATAAGTTATAAAGAGCATAACATATGCCTTATATAGTTAGTAATGTGGCTATATTTCATGATTTTTGCCTGGTTTTACTTAAAATTTCTCTTTTGGGGTTGGCAGGTGGCATGGTGGTTAGTGTGCTGGACTCCCACATGGCCAACTGCGGTTTGAGTCCTGGACCTGGTACTTCCTCACTTCCTCTCTCTGTCTGTCTGTCTATATCTCTATCTAGTCAAATAATAATAATTATAATAATAAATGAAAATTAAGTAGTCATAAAGAATTTTTTTTTTAAATTTCACTTTCTTGGGCCCACAAGTAATGTGGTGGTTAAGGCACTGGATCCCACATGACCAACTCCATGATTCGAGTCTTGGACCCGGTGGCTTGAAAAACACACTGGACATGTATGCATACATATTCAAAATCCTGACAGGAGAAGGGATTGCACCATATCCCCATTGGGGATGATTTCTTGCTTTTTCATTCTCTTTGTCTCTCTGTCTCTTCCCATCAGGTGCCCATGCCCTATGACAAAAATCTAAAAAAAAATAAAATCCCTTTCTCACTGTTATTTGTATAAGCATAGTGTCCCTAGTGACATATTTGTGTGGAAAAGCATCAACACAGTGTTTACAAGTAACGGGCACATAATTCATAGTGTTTGTTGAATGAGTGGGTTTCACTGACATTATTAAAAATAGTGGCTTTTTCATCATTTAAGGCTTGTGAACATATTTAACATATGTGAGATGAACCATGATTGTTAGCAAAACATTTAGTTGTACATTTGCAAGTTTTAATTGCACTCGCTTGACAGACGGGGCTGACATTGGGAGTGAGAAAGTACCATCCAGTGAGGTGTGGCCATGTCTCAGGTTCTCCTCCGTTTCTCCATCTTGTTGGGATTTTGGCCGTGCATACACTCTGCCCGCACCTGGAGTGTTTTTCAGGCCACCAGAGTTTGAACCACAGTCGGCTGTGTGGGTTCTGGCTTCTGGCTCCCTTTCCCACTAAGCCTTTAGGATAGGCCAGTACATTGTGTTTTTCAAAGAACTTCATGTACGTTTTCTTGATTCCTTTTTTTTTTTTTTTTTAAGAATAATTTACTTATTTAATTTAATTTGTTATTTTAATTTGACCAGAGAGAGAGAAAGGGAAAATGAGGAAGAAAGCTGCCACATCCAGGACTCGAACTCAATTGGCCATGTGAGAATCCAGTGCCTTTTTAACCACCACACCACCTGCCAGCTTCCATCATTTTCTTTTTTTTTTTTTTAGTTATTTTATTTAACTTTATTTATTTTAATTTGACCAAGGAGGGACAGAGGGAGTGAGAGAGAGAGAGAGAGAGAAAGCAAGCCTCCAGGCCTAGTACTCGTGGGAGTCTAGCGCCCTTAACCACCACGCCACCTGCTGGCCCCCCATCATTTTCTTGATTGTTATCAGGACCTTTTGACTTAAGGAAGACTGGTATTAATCGTTGTCATTTCACAGGGAAAGAAACTTCATGAGGCACATGAAGTTTTTAATCTGAAAGGATTAAACGAATAGCCCAAACTAAGCTCAACCCTGTTTTTGTTTTGTTTTGTACCAGAGGATGCGTACACACCCACTAGAAAGAGAAAGTGCATTTGAGGATCCCCAATCAGCCCTGGTCATGCCACAATCCTTTTTTCTCTCTATTCTCCATCCCACCAGAGCCTGGGCATTTGCACACGTGCTTAGTGTGTTTTCAAGCCTCTGGGTCCAGGATTCAAACCATAGTTGGCCATATGGGATCCCGTTCCCTCTGTCCAGCATTGCTACACTATTAGGTTTTTTTTTTTTTTTTTTTTAATGTCATTTATCTCTTCCGTGAGAGAGAGATACAGGCACGCAAAAGAGTCCTTACACTGCGATCCACACCCATCCTCAGCCACCTGGATCAGAGGCACCCATGCCTGTGTACAGAAGGTAAATGCTGGGGTGTAGAGGACACCTCAGGACACGAACCCGGGACCTTCCCTATGGGTTCAGGATTGGGGAGAATTGCATTACTGCTGCACCACTGCGGCTTACCCTGCGAGCGCGGTCTTCTTTCTCCACAGATGGTGAGGGCCTCGCAGCAGAAGCATGTGCGCATGTGCCCCTCCGTCGCAGTAAACGGAGCTGAGTAAAAGTTGATGGAGTGCGGGTCATACCGCGTCCCGGGCTCCTGCTCAGAAGCAGAGACGATGGCAGCACAATATGAAGTGGGTAGTTGTCTTTGATCTTAGTCAACAAATTGTATTGCATTTCACCAGGTAGACATTTTGAACCAAGATCTTAATTATCTAACTGGGTCAGATTTTAAAAGGTGGTAATTATGCACATTTTCCTTTGTGCCCCTTCACACAATTACATTTTGCCTCACTGTTACCTCTGCTTCCTATCTCAGACAGAATATTTGCAACTTAAAACTCAGTTTATTCAAGTTTGACTTGAATTTAGCCGTTGAACTGTGAGGAAGCAAGTTTCGATGATGTCCTGAAGGTACAAGAAAGGAAAGCTTTGTCTGTTATCAAGAAGGCGTAATAAAGGTTTTCCAAGCCTCATAAATCACTCCTGGAGTGCTGGAAAAGCTGCAGATTATAGAGTGGTGATTGTCTCGGGGAAGTTGAAGGCGATTGCAAGTGCTCTCTCTGCACTTGGAGTATCAGCGCATGGACACTGGGAGCCGCCTCGGTTATAGCTGATGGAAGGAGCAGAGCCGTTCGCGCCTTCCAGCGTCTGCGACTGGGGGCAGGGGTGGTCTGAGTGGTCTCACAGCGTAGGTCGGCACTGTCAGCTTGTGCTTTCTCTGCAGTCACCATCATTCTGTCTTAGGCACTTATGCTGAAAAGAATTTTTAAATGAATTATTTATTTAATTCTATTTGTTGTAATTTTTTAATTTGACCAGAAAGAGACAGAGAGAAAGGGAAGATGGAAAAGCAAGCTACCAGTTTTGGGACACAAACCACAGTTGGCCATGTGGGAAACCAGTTGCCTTTAACCACCACGCTACCTGCCGGCCCCTGGAATTAATCATTTTAACTTGATGATGATTATAAAAACTTTGGAAGGGAGCTGGAGGTGTAGTGGTTAAGGCACCTGGATCCCACATAGCTGACTGTGTTCGAGGCTCAGACCTGGTGGTCCAAGAAACACTAGGAGCATGTATGTGCGTGCCCAAAAGTCCCAAAAGGAGAAATGGAGGAGACGGGATAGTGGAATGGCCATTCCCCCGTGGTGGTGCACTCGCTCTCTCTCTCTCTCTCTCTCTCTCTCTCTCTAGCGTGTACTCTCTCTTTGGGCCTGGATCGTTGGAGTACTACAGATGAACACACAGCCCCGTTATACACCTCACTGTGACTGGATTGTTCTGTCCTGGATCTGTGATACTTAATCCTGTCACAGACACATCTCTCTTCCTGAATGACTCAGACTAGTTCATACGCCCTTTAAATAAATTCTCATAGTTTTGAAGTGAAAAGTTGAGCTGTGCCACTATATATAATAAGAAGGATATAGTGAAAGGAACTTGAGAAAGAATAAAATGGTGCCCGTTCTTCTGGGATGAACACTGAATGAGGCATGTACATTCTAACCACAGCTCTGAGCGTGAGAAGAGTTGCTTTATCCATTATTGAATGAAGTGAAATGTAATAATAGTCTTCGAAGCAAGGAGACTCTTTTTTTGAAAGAATTATTTTATTCAGGACCAGCAGATGGCATAAGGTTATGTTGCTGGATTCCCACATGGTTGACTGCAGTTTGGGTCCTGTACATGGAAGCTTGAAACACACGTTGGGTGCATGTGTATGCATGCCCAAACTCCCGAGAGGAGAATAGAGGAGAAGGGATTGCAGCATGACCATCCCCTTTGTGGGGTGATTTCTTGCTTTCTATCTCTCTGGCGAGAACGCAAGCCCTATAATAAAAAAAATTCTCTTAAAAATTATTGTATTTAATTGCATTTATTATTATTAATTTTTTAGTTTGACCAGAGAGAGAGAAAGTGAGAAAGCAAGTCACCAGGTCTGGGACTCAAACCATGGTTGGCCATGTGGGAGTCCAATGTGTTAACCACCACGCCACCTGCTGACTGAGACTGTATTTTTTCATGAGCTAAGTCATGGTGTAGAAAATAGGTTGTGTGTGTGTGTGTGTGTGTGTGTTTTAGAGAGATTTTTGCTACAGGGCACATGTGCTTGTCAGAGAGACAGAAAGTTAGAAACCACCGTGCTGGGGGGATGACCATGCTGCAATCCCTTCTCCTCTTTGGACCTTGGGCATGCATGCACACACACCCAGCATGAGTTTTAAGCTGCCAGAACTTCAGACCACATGGGATTCCAGCAACACAACCATTATGCCATCTGCTGGTCCCTGTATTTTGTTTTTTTTTGTATGTTAACACTGAATGTGCTCACTAGAACTTGAGCTAACCTGTGTGAGGCAAGCACATGACTGGAAAAATTGTTTCCTATGACATGATCCCCAAACATTTTAATTGGGCAATAATACATAAATACTGAGCCTAGTACTTTAATGGTGAAGGTGGGTTTTATGTTTGGGAGAAAGACGAATACAAAAAGTCTTATGTGTAGGAAGTATTACTACTTGTCAGAGGGAGGAAGAAAAATTTCAGATCAAACATTGAAGGTGATTAAGAAAAATTAACATGTAGAATAGAAATCAGTTTCTACTGAAAAATAGATGTTTTTAATATAAACAGGAAGTATAGAACACATTAGCGGGTTTTTGTTGCAAAGTATCAGGGAAAATTGCTATGAAAATTTAATGAATAGGAAAATATTGATTGATGGCATCTCTGCATTTACTCTTGATGTGGTCTAAAAGCTCATTGTAACATTGCTAAGCTAAATCGATACCTGGTCGGGAGTTCAGACTGGAGCACTTCTAAGGCAAAGCAGAATAATTAATTAATTCCATATGTACACAGATGCACATATGTACCATATGTACACGTACAACACACACATATAAAATACAGACTGTGTATATTTGTTATTACATGTAGCTCTTTTCTCTGTTTTATATGAGGATTTTTGTTGTTGTTGTTATAGGGCACGTGTGCTCACCAGAAAGACAGAGAGAGACAGAAAGTGAGAAATCACCCCCCAGGGGGGATGGCCACGCCACAGTCCCTTCTCCTCCATTCTCCTCTCGGGATCTTGGGCACGCACGCACACACGCCCGGCGTGAGTTTTAAGCCACTGGGTCCAGGACTCAAACTGCGGTCGACTACTTGGGAGTCCAGCAACATAGCCATTATGCTAACTGCTGGTTCCCTAAATTTAGTTTTCATTATAACTTGGTAAGAAGAGAGAATTTGACATTGCAGTGTAGTTCTACTTCATGGATTTTGCAGCAAAATCTTGGACAAACCAAAATTTCAATATATTCTCTGGTGCTATTGAATCTGCTCCTTTATTCTCATCTGCTCCTAAAAGCGAGAAGGCTTTCAGTGCACTTAGAACGTAGAAACCCATTAAAGAAGGCCTTGGCAGATGAATACAACTTAAGTAAAGTGTATGTGCCCACGTTTTTGCCATGCTCTTTATGAAGTAGAATTCCATAGGGTGGGCCAGCAGGTGGTGCGGCGGTTAAGGCATCTGGGTCGCACAGGGCCGACTGCACCGTTCGAATCCTGGACACAGCAGCTTGAAAAACGTGCCGGGCGCATGTGCGTGCATGCCCAAAGTCCCAAGAGGAGACTAGAGGGATTGGACTCTGCGTGGCCATCCCCCGTGGGGTACTTTCTCACTTTCCTTCTCTCTGTCTCTGGCAGTACATATGCCCAGTAGCAACGTTTTTAAAAGTTAAAAATAAAAATAGACTTGCAGAAAAGTTGCAAAAATAGTACAAAGAACTTGTACATCCCTTTGCTCAGCTTCTCCCAAATATTGGCATTTCGTGTCTCCCTCTCTGTGTATTTCCACACACGCACACACTGGGATAAGTTCTCATGTCTTTTCTTGAACCATTTGATGAAGCTCCTGACGCGGATCTTCCTTCCATCCATGCAAACATAACCACAGCCTGACGTCGAGCAGTGAGTCCTCATAATGCTGTCTGTTCTTCAGCGCTTACTCAGATTTCACTCTTGTGTCCACTGCCTTTTGAATAAAATGCTCCAGGGTCACACTTAGGTTTAGTTGTCGTCTCATTTTAATCTGTAGATTTGGGACAGCCCCTAAGACTTTGGCGTGCTTACGACTTTGGCATCTGGAGGACAGGCCAGTTCCTTCGCTGAGGGCTCTCAGTTGGAATATGCAAATTCCTCTCAGCCACACGGGAATTCTGCAGATCATGTCCTCCGCGCAGCACGGCAGGGGACACGTCATTGTCTCCCTTTTATTGGTGATGTTAACTTTGATCATTTGTGGTGCCTGCCTAGTTTTACACTGTAAAGTCACTGTTTTTCCTCACATAGTGACAAGTATCTTGTGAGAAGAGTGGAGTCTGCGTGTCCTCATCAGGCAGGCATTAGTTTCAGCATCCTTTGCTAATTCTTGTGTGAAACCGTCAGGATGGTTGTCAAATGATCATTTTCTAATTCCATCAGTTCTTCAAGGATGGTATTTGTAATTGTTGCCCTTTTTTAAAAGATTTATTTACTTATTTATGTAAATTTGTCTAGAGAGACATACAGAGAGAGAGATAGCAAGCCACCAGGTCTGGGACTCGAACTGTAGTCGGCCACGTAGGAGTGTCCAGCACCTTAACCACCACGCCACCTGCTGGTCCCTGTAACTGTTGCCATTTTAATGTAAGGAAGGGCTCGCCAGCTGCCCCAGTTTGTTCACTTACTCATATTGGCATGGACTTAGGGTTTTCGCTTTCCGTCAGTGAAGTGGGATGTTCCTGTCGTTATTCATCCGTTCTTTTTTCACGCTAGATCTGTGCCCACGGGAGTGATGGTGAGAGCTTGCCTCCGAGTGATGTTTCCCAGGCTCGTCTTCTCTTTTTCCCATCCAAGGTCTGCACTCAGCTGGATTCCTGATTCCTGTTAGTGAAAATTGATATTCAGAAACAAGGTTCTGGGACCAGCAGTTGGCGTAATGGCTGTGTCACTGGACTCCCATGTAGTTGATTGCGGTTCAAGTCCCGGACCTGGTGGCTTAAACTCACACCGGGCACGTGTGCGTGCGTGCCCAAGATCCCAAGAGGAGAATGGAGGAGAAGGGATTGCAGCGTGGCCATCC